GGGGGGGTGGTGGAGGAGAGGAGAGTCGCAGAAACTGTGAGGTAGAGTGGGAGCGAGGGAATGGGGGGGTGGCGGCTGAGAGAATAGTTTTGTCGGAAAACTCAGCATCCGTTTCACAGGCCTGAGGCTGCGAGTTGTCATCTGAAACATTTTCTCTGCAACAGCCCGGATGATTTCCTGCCTCTCTCTCTGCAGACTCTTTTGTTGCAGCAGTGTGCAGTCCAGTGTAGATTCACTGGGAAGCACTGACTGTTGGGATGCAGGTATTTTCACAATCACTAACATGACAGATAATTAAAGTTTTTTTATGCAATGAGGCTGCACAGGCTGTTCTTTCCACACGGGTGCCTTCCACTCACAGCGAGGATTCAGCTGCGGCGTTGCAGTTCACTGAATTTTTTACACGATTCAATTGGAGATGCAACGGTTTGTTCTCTCCTCTGTTCCCCTCTGGTGCGCTATATTGTGTTTATCTTTTCGTTCCTCATCAGTGAGAGGGAACAAGTGGACATGCATTTCCATGAGGCACACAACAATACAATGAAATCACAACCTGAAACTCAGGTCATTTTTTTAAGGGACAATTCCACCCGCCCTGCAGTACTTCCACGCTTTTCAGAACATGTTTTGCTTTGTAGGAATGATTTGTTATTACTCACTTTAATTTGTTAGATTAAAATCAATTCCCTCCATGAACAGCAAGGTTTCATAAATCACAAAGCAACATAGTTTTGTAGTAAAGGCTGATGTATCGCATCTATTCAGGCGGTCAGCAATCGATCATGAAAATGCCCATGAATCTTCTTGGCAGGTTAAATGGTATTTACTCTGCAAAAAGTGAAGTGCCGACTAACTGGCTTGTTGCAACTCTGTGTGATACCCTTGACCTTTCTGTGTTTGCTGCAGCAGTAGCCTCTTTAAATTATCAATAAGGGAAGCGTTGAGTTGGTCAGAATGCAAAAGACGCCGTGCATGATTTCAGTGGACTCATCTCATCTGTGTCCATAGAAAACATAGGATGAATCATGGATCTTACAAGAAAGTGATTAGCTGACACACTTGTGATTATTACACATGTTTATGATTTAGTGGCTTCTAAATGGAAGTATGAAAGAGGCTTAGTGGGCTAAGTGGAAGTCACCTTGGACAAGAACATCAGCAGTGCTGGTAAATGGCAGCGATGATAAGCAGTTGCGCTATAAGCTTATTAATGTGGTCAGGCTGGTCGTCCTAATCCCTCCGTCTTTTACATTTAATATCAGGAGGAGAAGGATTGCTGTCACCTTTTTCCTTTTCAAATCCAGACATCTCTTTCTCTGGCCTAAATGATCTCTACATTGTGTTTGTCATGCGAATGCTTCCTGTTTCATTTACGTCGGCCGTTCGTTTGCAGTACTCATTGAAAGCAATATAGCTTAATAAAGATGGAGCGCACACACTCTAATATGCATGCAGTGTTTTAATATCATAGGACGATATTTCTCTGCCTCCCATGGGCCTCTTTCATTTTGTTTTTATGAAGGTGCAAAGTTTTATACATGTGGACTTTTCTTTAGCTCCACAACAAACAGTCGATGACAGCAGGAGGAAAAGTTATCAGCAGCTACATGCTTGTGTAGAAACATGTGAAGTGCACAAAAGAGACAGTGTGTGTGTGGTTTTTTTTTTATGTGACAGTTTGAGTGCTTTACATTTTTAACAGCTGCACACATAATGTATTCTGTACTAATGACTGTTCCTGGCCTTTTCTCTTTTCACAGCTCCCATCAACCCTCATCTGAGTAAGTAACGCACATCGCTCCTTGCAACTCTCACCACAGAGTGAGCTCCGTCTGTCGTAGCACAGTCTGTGAGAACAGTGGGAAAACCCAAAGTTACTGTACGTCCCGTAGAGATTTGACTCTTAACATGTCACGCTGCGCTGGAAGATTTCTCTAAGTAGAGCTAAATAATGTATGATAAATAATACTTCCCTTTAGGAAGTCACAGTAAACCTGCATTAGGCTGTCTGACGTGTTGAGAGCTTTAAATCTCTGCAGAACGTTGTGCAAGTACTTGGACACTTCATTTGCATGAGATATGCAGTCTTTGTGCCTGAGTACATTTACACGCACTGTGCTAATGTTTAGCCCCATTATGATGCATTTCATTTTTGAAACTTTATAAATTCACACCTTGAGAATCCACACTTAATCACTATTTGCTGTGCCGCAGTGTGCTGTTGTGCATTGTGCTTTATTTTTTATATAGATATGTATTTTGTTGCCTGTTCACACAAACATTTGCCAACATCATAACAAACATCCTAATCACCAACATCATTATCTAAATCCCTGAAGGAGACTATCTTACCTGCACACCTCCTCCCTCTGTCTATCCTCCGCATCCTCCCATCTCTCCCGCGCAGACAAGGCGAAAACGTTTAGTTTAGCTCACAGTAGATGAGGGCGTCGGTGTCTAGCGCCAGGAGCTAGACCTCCATTTAAATCTGCGTGCCTATGAGGGTAAGAGTCAAGAGTATCTGCAACCCAGCCCCTTCCCTCATTCTCCGTCACCACCACCTCCTTCCCTCTTGCTCTCACTTTCCATCTCTTTGTCTTCCTCTTCCTGCCTCGCAGCACCGCTGCCCTCTTCCATCCCTCGGTCCATCCACCCACTCTCCAGCTCTGTCTACGTTACCTCCATTACCTGAGTAAAAGCTGCTCCTCTCAAGGTCACCTCTCCAAACTGCTCCCAGCTACGTTTTAATAAATCAATGAATATTTATCAGAACTCACTCCTGCATCCTGAATCTAAATCCTCTTTTTTTTAACTATCTCTTTGAGGACACTGCTCAGCAACACCATCGCCTCTGTTATGGTGTTTTTCTTTGTTTGTTACATGAATTAAATAGAGGTTTTGACACTGTTGATCCTCCCTCTACCCCTTAATTAAAGGGAGTGGGCTGGTTCCCCACACGTACTATTTCCCACTCTTCATTAGTGTATTCACTGTTAGACATTCCCCTACATGTGACCCATCATAACCTCATGCTGGAGTAACAATTACTCTTTTTTTCATGTCCAACCCTACACTTTCATTCCCTGTCTGCACTCTCCACTGGTTTCAAAATTGCTGTCAAAGGGGCGTGGAGAGAAGCGCGGGAGGAAGGGAAAGCGAAGGGGAGAGAAGGAAGAGTGAGGGGGGGCACCCGGTATCTCAACTTTTACACCCACTACAGAGAATATGGAGAGTGACAGAGAAGCAGGGAGGTGGAGTTGATTATAAACCTGATTACCTAGAGTCCGAGTATTGAGATGCTATAAAAAATCCTAGGATAACCAACTCATTTTGTGTAATGTGCAAAAGTTCAACAGATTGATCTTCGTGCAAGTAAAGCTGCTTTCAGACATGCATTAAACTCCAGATAATCTCTTGAAGTGAGAAGGACTATATGTGAGAGCGCAAATGTTCGAGTCGGTTGCTGCGGACATTCTGCAGAGTTTACCCTACCCGTAGTGACATTTCAGGATAATGAGAATGAGCCCATGTGACAACACAGCAGGAGATTATCTGGAGGATTCACCACGAGCAAGTGGGCGCAATGATGACATTACTAACACATTACAAGACTGAAAAAAAAACAAATGAAAAGAGTCAGGATGAAAAAGAGAAGCCATACATGTAGAAGACATCGATGAAGGTATCAAATTGGAAAAACAACGAGATTGCGCCACACCCCACCTGAACACTTCGGAGAGACTGTATCTGTGTTGTTGTGAACACATCTGACCAAAGAACCTTGATATGTTCTTTAAATGTGAAAGGCAAACTCCAAATAATGTCCAGCAGCAATTGTGCAGACATTCTCTGCATTAAACAGTTCAATGTTACTTCTACAATGTCAAATCAAACCCAACCTCTTTTACATTAGATTTTTATTTAGTGTAATGTAATTTATGGATGTAGTGTGAGTATATTGAATACCATCGATCATGCCTCAGTAGTGGACTGTCATGGTACAACTCTTATAACCAGTTTTGAAACCTACACACTCACAAACACACTGCGGTTGAGTGTGTTTCTAGGGTGCAGAGACTTCTTCTCTGAACTGAACCAAAAATCCATGCTGTCATGAGGGAAAACTTGAACACGCTCCGTGACGTCTCCACAGTCAGCAAGAGGTCAAATCTTAATTTAGAAATTCTGCTCTCCACATCATGTGGTGTAATTAGGTCTCGGCTGTTGCATATCCCCCTGTGACACACACAGTATCACGCACATGCACAAACACACACACACAAGAATGGCTCATAAATTTACAGTAGGTGTCACACTGCTCACATACTATACTGTAGCCTCAAGCCAAATATATCTTTTTTTTGTAGTGATGTGAATGTAAGAGCCCAGTTCTGCTCTTTTGCTCACCAGGAGAGTTCCACTGCAGCTTTGAGGAGGAGCCCATCTGCATGTTCACCCAGGACAAGAACGATGATTTCGATTGGACACGGCACAGCGCTGCCACCCGTGACACCAAGTACACACCCAACACTGGGCCTAGTGGTGATCGCAGTGGTTCCAAGCAGGGTAAGTACTCCTTTAAATTCAAAGCCCCCACTCAAATCTGGCTTTGCCTGCAATGGGAATGGATTCGGCATTGACTCTCAGGTCAAATGACTCCATGTACACGTGTTTTAATCGGCTAAGAACGGGCCTAATGAAAACGTGACATACGGGTGAACACGCTAATTTGGCAAGACGGCAAGGTGAGAGAGCAACTCAGTCGTCAGTGCAGCTTTGACTTTGAGCATGACCAGATGAAGAAAACTGAAATTTTCTCTACTGGCAATGTAGAGAAGGAGTCACTTGCCTTTTGGTGTAAAAGAGGAATAAGTGACCATTTATTGAACGTCTCCCCTAAATAGTAATTGTCCAGTTACAGTGTGGCTGTAGTTTAAAAAGCACCAAGGCTAAAGAGCTTATCATTAGCTGACTACTTTACAACATTTATTACTGTCACTGCCCTGTTCAGTGTCCATATCATGTATTTAGCTATCAAGTGCACATTTAGACCCATTTAATGGGTTATTGGCACCTGGCTTATGTCTGGAGGGGCAGACACAGAACGGACCTACAACCAATCAGAGCACGAACCTGTTATGTAGTGCAGAGTGACAAAAAAATGTACATGATGCTCATCTTTTATAGAAAATATATGATTCTCGGTCAATCATCCTATCAAACCTTTGCCATTTTAGATAAAGACTGTGTTTGGACTAAGCAGTTTCAGGAATGAAATTGGTCTGAATGGGAGTGGGGCCTGCAGTCCTCATGTTTTCAACCAAATCACAGAGTTAACAATAATTACCTCGTTGATAAAACCTGCCAGCAACAGCTGTTAGGTCAGCCAACAAAGCTTGTGGCTAGAAATGAGAATCCAGCTTTTGTAGCATAATTGTCAATAAAATACCATGCATGTAGAATCTTCCTATGTTGTAACTGTAAAACACCTATGTTCAGTGGTAGAACAGAGAGCTTGAAACACGTAGCATCAGTGACTTGGTGATGGGTCAGCTGATTAATTCCTTGGATGAGTCATCCTGTGATGCATCATTTACTTATATGCAGTAGCCAAAGGGCCAAATCATTCCTTCATATAGCTTTGCATTGTGATGCTATGGTGATGAGCACTTAGTGTTAACAACAGTCCAATTATTTGTCAAATGAGCTGGAATATATCTGGAAACTATTTAAACCATGAATATGTATCGCACACATAGAACATTCATAACAGATATGTAATGTTGGCTACAGATGCATACAATAACAAATTAGGTACAAATCACCAACATCTTCAATAGTCATCAAGCAGTGAGCAAGTTGCCTGGTTACATCTCTTGGCTGGGGATTTATCTATATAGATGATGCACCAATAGGAAATAAAATAGTTAATGTAAGTGTAATCAATTATGTCTGTGTGGCTCCGCAAACACTGCACCTGCTCACTGGAATGGGAATAAGTAGGTAGAATGCACACATTTAAATGGACAGCACTATTTCTGCAGTGTGCTGCTACTCACCACACACACACTGACTACACACTGTTATATATACAATCCATGCATGAATACTGGAACCCCCACAGTACACAGGCACAGCAGTGTGATTATCATGTAATTGCTAAATGATGTGGCAAGATATAAAATTAGCAGCAGTCCATGTTGATTATTTTGTACCTGTATTTGCAAACACGACACTAATGGTGTCGCTACTTGATGAATTACAATAAATAAATGAGCAGCCGTGGCCTTTGTTTTCCAGGCTAATCAAAGGCATAATAATATTTAGTTTTTAATATTTTACTTAGATGTGCAGATATTGCATTTTAAGAACTTAAATAGCAAATGAACAACACTAAAATTCCTCTGGATTCATGTGAAGCCATGATGATAGAAGTTATATCTGTGGTGGAATGTGAGTGTCTGTTCTGGTGCTGTGGCACCAGCAGCAGCTGAAGCAGTAAATAATGCATTGGCTTTAATCACCTAATGGTTTCAAAATGTCCAGCATTTCATTACCAGCCCCGTTCCTCTGTGCGTATAATTATCTGATATGAGATTCAACATGAGGGAGATAATCCATTTGATTTTAGCTGGAGGGGCGTGGAGCCGCTCACTAGCTACCTTCCCTGTGCCTGTGGCAGGGAAGAGATTGGCTTCAGATTATGTGGCTCTGACACAATCAGAGGACTGTTTGACTCGCTGCCGCTGTTCAGGCCTGTCAGACCGAGGGAGCATGAATGTAACCCCATTGTTATTGGCCCCTGGTTATTGCTATTAGTAAAAAGAGAACTGTCCCTCATAGAAAGCCACGCTGCTTATCTCTGATATGGAAGGTTTCATTTCCATCATGCTGTCACAGACTGGCTGAGAAAGCAGCTCAGCATGACCAAGGACGCCTCGCTTTTCCCCAGTGTTTACAGTGGGAAACAATTGTTGGTGTATCAGGAGGTGGTGAGAAAGTTCTGTAGTTATGGCATTGTGAACACTGCCAGGCAAAAGCTTTTTCCTTTTTCAGTTGTTGCAGTTAACCAGTCAGGCACAAAGACTTTGTCCAATATCCTAAAATATTGTTATAAGGCATAATGAGATGTATAAACTATAACGCATATTTTATATTATATAAGTATTTACAGAAGCTATATCTGGCAATTAGCTCAAATACTTATTTGTATGCCTCAGCACTGATAATGGCCTGTAGTTAAAGGCATTTTGTTTACTCTTGTCTGTGTCCCATTCTTTTGAACATGATAATTTAAGAATGCCTTGAGGAAATGTCTTCAAATTCGGTACAAATGTTCACTTTGTGTCACAGATTAGATTTGGGTGGTCAGAGGTCACAATGGCCTTACAAAGCATGGTTTTGTTGACGAAGAAATACACCTATGGTAATTCCAATAATTAATTGTAATTTTATTTTGTAATATTGGCCATTTGTAATATGGCTAATTACCAGGTTAATTTCATGTATCTGGAAATGGAAAAACTTTACTTCCTGTCTGTATAACATTTGTGCACAGAATGGTCAGTACAAAACAAATAAAATGTATGACCTAAGTTGTAATGAACCAGAATTATATTTTATGTTGCTCTCATTGATAAAGTATTGTAGCTTAAGGTTAAGGAAGTTTCATCCCCTATAATCTCAATTATTGGTTTTGCTTTATGTGTGAAGATGATTTCACATGAAAATATTGCTCTTAGTAATTTCCTGTGTTCATGTATTTCTGTGTTTCAAGGTTTCTACATGTACATTGAGACGTCGAGGCCACGGAAGGAAGGGGACCAGGCGCGGCTCGTAAGCCCCTTCTTCAACGTAGCACCTAAAAACCCCTACGGTATCACCAACCCACCCGCCTACTGCTTCAGCTTCTTCTACCACATGTATGGAAAACACATAGGTATGTCACATTTCTTATTTGCTCGCTTTTCCACAGCTTGTGTAACAAACATCTGTGCTGGGCTTTGAAGAAGTCAGCGGAAAGGATCTGCTTAATTAAATTCATTGCTCAACAGTTCATGGAAATAGATGAGGAACGAATAATTACTTTCATTCTTTAAAGAATCTGTCACTGTTCTGTAGCTTTTGGCTGCTTAAGCAGAAAAAGCATATTCTAGTGAAGCTCAAATTGCTTTGGCAATTGTCTGCTAAATGAAGGGGATGCGTTCTTATCTGTGCGGAACTAAACCGTCAATGAGGAAGCTCCACAACAAATTTTATTTTCCAAGAGAAGAATCAGTCATCAAGCATCTGCAGGACATCACAGTGTCTTTGAAACATAAACTGAGAGATGAGATTCTTGAAATTGCTGTCCGCCACCTACAGTGTGTGTGTCCCAGTGGGCTTTTCTTTTTTGTGGTTCTGAAAGAGTAGTTGTTTGTGAGACTGAAACACAGGAGTCACGCTGTGAAAAGAAGAAAAAAAAGCAGCAGCACTTTTTTGTGTGAGCAACACAATTTCAGTCATTTCAGTTTTATCTCTGTGGCGAGTGCTGTGGGGACTTTTGTTCTTTCATGCCAAAATTTTGTTAAATGCAGCTGTCAGTTGTTTTACGCAAATTATATCTCACTTTTACAACAAACACAAAGGTGTGCACTCTAAACTTGGGTATTAGCTCTCACATTCCCCTCTGAATGTAGAACTCCAACTTGCATGGCCTGTTTGAAGATGGCAGAGTGACTGAAGGAGCTACTCTCTGACTCTTAACTTTCTTTCACAAGGGAACCAATCAGTCGACCGCAAGCTCTCCTGCTCAGAGTGCAAACCGTTTGTGGTGTTTGTGAATGCGGGAGTGATGAGCAAGATTGGAGCTTAAGCACAAAAACAGCAGCTTCACACGATGTTGAGAGACACTTGTGGTGGTTTCTCTGTCAAGAAGGTTCATGTTGGAGTTTGTCCTGTTTTATGATCCTGTCAGCCTCCAGATGACATAAACGTTTAGGAAATCTGGACGATTTTGTTCATACCCAGGCATTGCCGAAGCTCTCCCTACATTTTCTGTCTCAGTGGTCTTGGAGAGTTATCTAATCAATGCAACATGTGCTATAGCTCAGATTGATGGAGAAAAACATAAAAAGACATCTTCTACTTTGCTCTTTTCCTGTTTTTCTTTTAGAGAAAATATACCATCCATTTCAATAAATCCAGTCTGCATGGCGGGATTGCCTGACCTCTCCATATCAGCGACAGCAACGCATCGGTGGCTCTCCTATTGGGTGCTCCTCTGTCAGTGATCCAATCAATCATGCCTTATCTCAGATCAATGGTTGTGATTGGCTCGACAGGTTTTAGGACAGATGGGAATCGGTTTGAATAGGGGGGGGGGGGACGAGACCAACATGCAAGAACAAATGAACATGAGCTCACTGATTGGTCTGGTTTCCAGACTAATTGAGTCATTCACCTGCAGATATTAATGGACCCAGTTCTATCTACTCCTATGCCTGTGAAACCACTTGTCCTTTAAGCCAGTCATTCACTGTGCAGCACCAATGTGTCAGTGCATCAATGTGTGTTGTAGTATCATCTTTTGGACTGTTTATGACTTGTTATTGACCAGGCCACCAAATGTCTCAATTTTTCTATCTTGTGGACGCCTCTCTCAGAAGTAAGGGGTGTGGTTTTAGGGGCCATCACTGTTGACATTTGCGCCTTAAAAAGTCCACTGACCCGTCCTCTGTGATCCGGTCACATGCAAAGCGAGCAGGGGCATTATAGGCACAACAGCCTTCAAGCACAGTTTGCATGGCATTTGAGTTTGACATGCAAAGTCAGAAATGTTCGAATCCTACACCTAGCAATTAAAGCCACTGACGACACAGGTTCAAATCCAGATTGATCGACAGTGACCAATTAACCCACCAGTCGTCATCAGTCATCGATTGTACTAAAATATGATTTGTGCAAATATGTGACATCACATTTTCCAACTGTAAACCAGTAAGAAAAGTGCAGATGCAAAGAAATAAAAAACTAGAATACTGCTGCTAACAGTCTCCTTACAGTCAACCAAGCTGCTCTAAATTTCAAACACTCACAGATGATCAGTTCCCTTAATGTGCCAAATTCTTTTTCCTCAAGATCCATTTATTATTCTCTGGCAAATTTCAGAACACATCACATATCTTACAATGTTAAAGATATTGAAAATAATCTGGATCCACCTCCTGATCTGCGTCTGCACAAAAAAACTTTATAGATTCTTCCCTGACCCATACTGCATCCTTTCACTAAGCTTCATCCATTCATTTGTTATTGCATAATACTGCTTACATACAAACCAACCAACAGCCAGGGGTGAAAACATCCTCTGGGGGGTGATAACCAAAACTGTTTTGTGATTACTTTGTATTTATGTCCCCGATAGTAAATCTTAGATTGAGATTATTATTGTTTTCTTTGCCTTTTAAAAAGGAAATCACAGACCGTACCACAATAATACCCACACCCACAAAATACTACTTCCATAAAAACTCGGAGAAGTTCACAAAAATAAAATGGAACTGTGAATAAACACAGAGGGAACAAGTAGTAGCACTTTTGTGCTCATTAAACTTGATACTTAAACCGCAGGAAACTGTAAAATCACGACAGCCTGGCAACTGCACTCATCTCCCTTCTGATAAAATGTTTACAGTGAGCATTTGGCTGCGTTTACCTTCGTATTCTAGTGAGACATCGCTGGTATCAGCAGCGTCTCCACCCACCACCTGCTCCACTCTGAGCTTCTGCTGGACCTGCTGCTCCATCTCCAGCCCACTCAGCTTCCTCTCCTCTTCAGTCTCTCTCTTGTTTGAAGAGCACTGGCTTATTCATTCTCTGAAAGATATATTCTTCTTTTTGGGAATCTTGTGTCATTGCAACATTTTAATTCTTGTGTAATGACTCTGCATTGATAATAGAAATATGCAGAAACATTTTGTTTATTATGAATAATGACTGCTACTTGGGCCTCCAACCACCACTTCCAAAAGCAAATCACCAAATGATCTGCCAAGCTACAAAACCAGTGGTAAGAGTCTGATTTTCATAATGTTAGTGAACTAACCATTTTGGCCTAAACTGACAACAGGCTTCCTTTAGGGTTGAAATTTAGACTTCATACTTTTCTGCTGTCCTCTATGGAAAGGCTGAGTGAAACCATCCGGGTTGGAGAGAAGGACCCAAACATCTGGAGAGGTGGAGAACATGTAAGGATAGAGGTGTCAGAGGGCGACTCAGCAGGGAGATGAGAGCTCCTCCGGCTCCCTGCCGAGGTTGAGTAGGCCATGACATTTCCAATTTGCTCAAATTGATCGCCGGCCAGACCCTCTCTTCCCTGCCCTCCCCATCTGTGGTGAAGCCCATGCCCAGACTGTGGCGTGTTATGATGAATGGGCTAAATGTCAAGGACTTGAAACCCAGCTCAGATCCTCTATAGCTACGCTCCATTTAGTATTCTGCCTCTCCAGCCGTGAGAGAATTTGCCCCTGAGCTCAGGAATGTGATATTCTCTACCCAGAGAATGAACGCGTATGGCAAACGGTCCATATAACATATGTTCATTTATACTATACTGCACCACAATCATTTTTTGGTTTAGTTTCTGCAGTTGAAGGCGTTTTTCTTATTTAGAGCAGACTTCGCACAGCTCCGTCCGGAAACGCTGGGAGTTTGATGCTCTTTGGGACTTTGCTGTTGAGGTTAGTCACAGTCAAGTTGTGACATGGCAGCGCTAAAGGCCAGAATCAGTCGATAAAGAGTTTCGCCTACGCACTGATGAAAACAGTGGCACAAGCTCAAAGAAACTCCTTTGTCGTTAGCTAGCGGGGGATACCTGAGACAAGGTCACACTTAATTACTGAAGCGCACATCAAAGTTTGCCTTTGGAGCCCGTGTCACATTTGTTTATAGGATTAAGTCTCCAGCAAAGCACACCAAGCAAGTCTGTTTTTAAGTCTGACCTTCTGAGAAGCAATGGAGTCATCCTTTCATTAGCGAGGAGGGTGGTACTGCACCTCAATCCCCCGCTCTCTCGTCCTCACTCTATAATTGAAAACTTCTAGGAGCTGGTTCTCACTTTTCACTTGACTCACATCTTTCTGTTCTCAGATCTTTTTAAATTTCACAAGTGTCTGCCACAGGTACTTCTGTAAAAAAAAAAGAAAAAAAAGAAGAGAGATACTCCAGATGAATATCCAGCGCATGACTTAGCTCGGGATGTGATGACAGCGGCATAACCACCTACATCGCAATGAGTTCAAAGAAAATGTAAGCCAGCCAGCTCAGCAAGAATCCTCCTACATCCTAAACACCTCGACGGTAGATGAAACTGCAGGTCATGTTCTGTACAAGAGCTCATCTCTCACTGATATTGTGCTGTCGTTGGGGAAAGTGTACACTGCTGATAATATGAACAAGGACATACAGTACGGCTTTCCCTCGATTCCTCACAGAGATGTTTTTTGAAGGGGGCTGTACAGTAATGAGGCACCTCGCTGTGGCAAAGATGCATCAGAGGCGAGGTGACACTCCTCGACGCTGCTGTTTTTAGCTCATCAGTTGTGTCAGCGCAAAGGTGCTGCTCTCCATACTCCAAATTCACTTGACTTCAGAGCGGTGGTCCTGCTGAGCTTCTCCACGGTGTCAACGCTAACCTGATTTGAGTCTTTGGATGCAGCTCCTCCTGGCACACCACTAAAGAACCGCTGTCTCACACACTCACACGCATTCTCGCTGCATTGCAAATAGAGAAGTGAGTAGAATGTGTGGTTGGAGAGGAGGAGAGTGAAGTGGTTGCACTCGGTGTCATCATCTGACATCATCTGACAGTTTTATATCAAAGTCCGGAGCCAGACGAGAGGAGAAGCTTGAACTCAGGCCCGGTGTCTATTCTTTCTCAATAAGAGACTGTATTTCTATGTCTTTGTTAGAGTTATACATGAATTCAGTTGAAATTGCTTTGTCATATTGCATTTTGTAATTCAGATATGGGTTCAACAGTGACATTCAGCAGTTTCTCCCGTGCAGCTTCAGTGGAAATGCAGGTAAATGGAAAAGGAAGCTGGACCGCACAGAAAACTGAAACTAAAAAGAAATTTAAAAAAGAAAACTGTACTCTAAAGGTATGGTATTCTCATCACAAATTGGCCATTAGTGATACTTATTTTGGATCATTCATATGACCTGAGGTTAACGTTTGCATCTGATCGACTCTACTCTTACAGCATGAAATTGAAATGCTGAGGACAGAGGTCAATATGAAGCTTAGAAGTCTGGATCCAATCTCACTCCCAGGTTCACCCTGGAATTCACAATGGAATCCTCCCTCCCATGTGTGGGTGATTCTTTACAATCTTATATACATTTTTAAGTATTTCTACACTTAGAGCCAAGGTTCTTCACCTTTTTTTCCACTGCAGACTGTTTTTATAATTTAATATTATATTCTGTGTCCAAAAACACAAGTAAACCTTGACACAAGATTCAGAAAAGTGCCCTAAAGGAGAAGTGGGCGAGCATAAATAAATCACAATTCATCTTGTGTATATTATTTTTTCTTATAAACACCAGAGCAACACTCACACTGTGTGTTCTAGTGTCTGTGTATGTGTGAGTGTATGTGTGTGTTACTCTTCAGTTACACTATTCAGTAGAGAACAGTTTGATGATGATGAGTGCGAAATAACCTGACTGAATCTATCTAATAATTCTAGAAATCTCACTTTATCTGCTTACATGTCTCTGAAACTCTTCATGTCATTGGCACGTCATGCTCAATATTTATAAACTCATTTATAAACTCACCACAACAGTGCGTTCACTCAGTAACAGCAATTCTGGGTTCTGTGTACTGAGCCAAGCATTAACAAACTCTGAATAAACAGGTGAACATCTCTTACCTCTAGTTTTTCTCTCTTTCACATTGGACGTCAGTAAAGAATTGATAACTGAGACGCTCTCACCTCGCTGTCTTGCCAAATTAGCGTGTGGTTGTCATATATCCATCACTGCCGATCAAAGCGGGAGCTGATTAAAACCTGTGTCTACTGCCGATTGTATCCATTCACATTGCAGACAAAAGCCAGATGTTAGTGGGTGTTAGTGGGTTTTCTTGACCAGTGGAAAAGGGGCTCCAGTAGCTGGTCTTTACTGGCTGCTGCTCCATTACTGCAGGTCACTTTTACATTTTCAGAAAGAAAGCTGCAGCCAGCCTCACCACAGGCCGAGAACAGCCCATTCCAAACAGGCAGGTTTACACTGGGCGCTGCACTAGTCAAGAAAATGTTCTGATGCACATGACTCATGGAGGAATACGACTTATTTATCTGATTAAAGTCATGTAAAAATACTGCTCGACAAGTAACATTTCAACACCTTATCACACTCTGGTCACATGCCATTTGCAGGTCGCTGTAGAGAAAACCCTTCAGGGTTATTATCATACAGTGCCTGTCAGCAGCCATATTGCAAGTGTGGTAAATATGAACTGTAGTGTTTTGACCACATAAACCTGTTTCACTCATGCGCACAGACACAACAATGCTGAAAGGTGGTGACAACAGCTTACCTGAAGTACTGTTGACCTACTTTAGCTGAAAAGCAGCGTATTGTTGTTTAGAGCACGGCGGAGAGAAACGAGGGCGCCGGGTTTAATGTAATTACCACAGAAATAGTCTACAACGCGCTACAGCATGCAATCATTATTGTGGTTCAATCAAAGGCTCGGTACAGGTCTATGTGAATGTGTGTACGTATGTGTTTAGCTTCTATATTTCCCTTCTCTCCATGCAGGAACACTGAATGCCTTCCTAAAGCAGAAGGGCCAAACGACCTCAGAGGGTCCTGTGTGGTTGCTAAGTGGTAACCAAGGTGACCGTTGGAAGCAGGCCAAAGTAAGCATCCACCCGACAGCGTCCTTCCAGGTGAGACCAAAAAGCAGCACTCTTAGTGTGGCCCTTTTATTTTCCTCTCTCTGGGTGTGAACGGTGAACTATTAGTTTCCTCGGGGGTTCGGTTGTTGATGTAGCGCTTCACAAAACCTCAATGTAAGCAAAGAAGTGGACAGGATCCATGGCTATTGAGAAAGCAATATCACTCACACTTTGCCATCAGTAAGCCTACTCTCTGTGAGTAGCGAAAATAGAACTGCAATATTCTCCATCATTTTTACTGCTGCAAAGTAATTATAGCCTCAGCTGCAGTTGTGTGTTTTTTTTTCCTGTTCCCATTCTCACTTCACAAAAAGCTTTTTTACTTTTAAATCTTATGGCATTAAAAACTGAAACAAACACTCACCACCTGCTGTTATTTTTTATAAGGGGCAATTTAGCTTAATTACACTGTGTACTTACTTTTAGAGTTTGTCTTGCTGTGGCACAAATGTTCCTGTTTTTGTGCTCGATCAAGGCTGTACAGGAAAAAATAATATTTGTTTTTCTCTCTCCAGGTGGTACTTGAAGGTGTCCGGGGACCAGGTATTGAAGGAGACATCGCCATCGACGACGTCACGCTGGAGGAAGGGGAGTGTCGAGACCCTCCGCCCAGTGAGTAGCACCACACGCCCACCTCCCGTGCCCTCTCCTCAGACCCCTGCTCTTCCTCGCTGGACGGGCTTCAGATTTACAAGAGGGGATGTAATCTAAGAGGGTTGCCGCCATCGAACCAAACATGTCACGGGGGGGTGGGGGGGGTTGTCATAGCAACAGTGTTGAAATCACATGAGTGATAGCCACGCTGGCTGAGTGGAGCACTGTAATTGCACTGTAGGAACAAACAGAAGGTAAAAAGAGAAAACAGGACATAGAAAATTGCCAATACTGTTCCTGCGATTTATTTCATATTACATATGATTGGAGGAATATTATATCCAGAAGCTTCTCAGACCTGTCCCTTTCACATAGCAGAGATGAATCAGGGTAATCCTATTCGTCATGAGAAATAACCAGGTATTTAGAAGAGAGTCGGTTATCTAGCTCTGCAAGACATATGCTTTTTATTTATTACAAGATTATTATTCTATTTTTCTCATCTGGATCATTTGTGAGTCAAAGCAACAGCATTGTTATAGGTGTGGTCGGCAAGGTGGACGACGTTGTACATTCTACAATGAAATCTCACGTGTTCGCATACAGTATCTCTTGAGGGCTGAACTGATGGAAGATGTTATTCAAGAAGAATGATTCAGAGAAGCTGTTTTAGGATTTGGTCATACAGATAAAATTCAACTAAAGGTGAATCTTCAGTTATTATTTATACACAATAATATACAATCAAATATGTGAGAAAAACCCAATATCAAAGTGTTATTACACAAAAATACCCACCTTCTCTGTTTGCTGACTCACCCCACCGTGTGTTTACAAATCTAAACACAATCTTATTTTTCACTTCCTCCTGATGAGAATTTCTGTCAATTACCAGCCGGTGCACATGCAGGAACCTACGTCGTCCGATTCCTCGACAACACAGAGTGGGCTGGTGTCATGGCTTTCCAAGCTGAGGTGTTATTTCCTGTCAACTCTGCCACAGAGACATGACACACATTCAGTGCTTCTGTCTGCTGATAGGCGATCAATATCTGTTCTCTCCATGGCCTCGTTTTTATTGTTTTTTACCTGACATGTGAATATGTGGAGTCAAATAGCACTCTGACATCACAGGGTCCTTAAAGGAGCAATTTGCCATTGGGGAAAACGTTGATTAATAGGAAGATCAATATCGGTTTGAAGTGAACCTGGAGCTGGGAGACACTTGTGGTGCTATAAACTGAGCTGCTGTAGCTGGTTCTGTCACATGGACTCAAATAAACCAGTTTTTCTTAATTTATTGTCACAATTGTTGTTGAAATATGCCTTTTTTTATTGTATTTGGTTTCTGAAAACCATATTTTGACCCCCTTCAATACCCAGGGGGCTCCCTACCACTGGTTCTGAAACTGCCCTAAAGCACACTAATTAACACTTTTAATTTTGTTTGTCGAATCTTTATAGAAATGTGGCTTTAGGGGTGTTTGAGTGTTGGAATATTTTTTGTGATTGTGATTGACAGGCAACTAAAATAAACTCCCTGCAGGCCAGTAATTTGTTGTATTGGGCAAAGAAAAAGTCCAAATCCCCACAACTTGTCATTTATTCATTTATTAGTTGTAGTTTTTCTACCAGAGCCAGAGAAGCTGTTTCCCAAATGTTATCAAAGGATCAATACATACATCTGCCACAATGGGGACTATTTGTTCAAATGTTTCTGGTTTGTTTATTTCCATTATTTCTGTTTTTGTGTCTGGAAGCAGTTTTGTGTTTTTTTTCTTTTGAGTGTTTAAGAACAACAGATAACTTTCATATCTCCTCTTTTACCTATTTAGATCTCAGCTCTAAGGCTCCATCAACATCCTCCCATATATGGCTGCTATGCATCACCTTGGTGATGACCCTCCTAGAAGGTCAGAGGTGACCCTCCTCTCCGTCACCTCAGAGGCAAATATTCAGACCCACCGTCTGTGAGCTATCCTCGGCATCCAATCACCAAAGATTCATGCATCCTGAAAGCAGCAGGGGTCCGCTGATGGACCGCGGAGGGACCGAAATCAATAAAAGAAAGAAAAAATTGTGATGAAAAAGTTACACAAAAATTAATAAAGAAGTTGCGCTAATTTTTTTAAAGAGACCTCTTTTACAGAAAACACTCCTCGGTGCAGGACTCGGGAGCACGAGCACAAAGACAGGTGGGCAACGAGTGAAGCCTGGACTTTGGTGAAAGACTTCTCATGCGTCGAGGGAGGACAGTTTGTAAAGCACAAGAACTATTTTATGAAGTCATGAAAATATCTTTGGAAGGCAGCGGAATATAAACACTGCTGACTTTTTCAAAAGGAAATAACATTTTCCTTCTAACGAATACACAGAGTCAATCTTTCTCTGTGTATCTTTATCTTCATTTTCTTGCACCAGATGCCAATCCCCCGACACCTGTTTTTCACTCGAGCCTAGCCTCTATCACACCCTGGCATTTCCTTATCTGCTTGGTGCTGTACTGTAGAAAAACAAGGACTCCGGCAACTTTAAGTTCTGTCTGCTTACTCCCCCTGTAGCTGCCTATGTATCTTTTAACACTGTGCTCACGAGTCCAAGTGGCCAACCGACGGAATGGTGGCAGAACAATATATGAAGAGGAAGAATCAGCGAAGGTGTAGACAGCTGGACTGGAGGGCAGAAGAAGGTTCAAGCTTCTGAGTTGAAATAAGAGGAAGAGGTGGAGAGAGGGCAGAGGGAGGAACAGGAGGAACAGGCAGAGAGAGGTCCGATTAGTCAGGCCTGACTCCGACATTCAGTCAGCGGTCCACCTGTGGAGCCGAAGCCACTTTACTTTCTGCCATGAAACAAAGTGCCTTCAGATTACAAACCGAATCGTGAGCCTGGGCGTTAATCAAATTCGAACACATCTCTGTTCATGTTTCCTCTGATGGGCTATTTTCTACATGTTTCTTTTGCCCCACAAGTGCTGATGGGAGGACACGCGTTCAGAGGGGAGTACGGGGGGTCGTGCAACACCTGGATCTTACTGCTGACGATGGGACAGTTGCCAGTGTGTGTGTTGTATGCGTGCGTGTGTGTGTCTGTGTGTGTGCATGCGCCTAAGCCTATGCCTACGCGTTGTTCAGTGTGAGGGCAGCCGACCAGGTGGTGCTGGCAGACCCCAAGCACAGATTTGGAAACAGTTTGGATCAAAAGCAGCGGCAACGGTGAGAGTGAGAGTGAGGCCCTGGATCTTTTTTGCATAAGGACAGTTTAAGATCATGCAGGAGGATAAAGACACTTTGTTGAATTAATACCCCACTCTCTTCCCATAATTCTCCCTCTCTCTTTTTTTTTTAACAAAAGAAAAGAACAACTGCTGAATAAAACATTGTGTTGTACAGGGAGGAGAGTAGGAACCTTTGGACTGCAGGCTCTTCATTAGGGTGATTGGCCTCGCCCCTGTGCTCCACCATTTATATGGAACAATATGAGAATAAAAGATAATAATGACCATAATAATAGTCATGATATTTTATTACTCTAGCGAGAATGTTTCTCTGCTTTTACACAAACTGTGAAGATTGACTGTGGAAGATCTACCTGAGACCATAACCTTAACCAGCGGGGTTTTTAAAAAATGTATTGTAAAAAAGAGAAAATAAGAAAATGAAAAATTCCGTTCATTGTTGGTTATGACAAATGTTTTGAGGACTTGTGTCTTGTTTCTTATTTTTTCTGTTGAAGATGACTTAACTTCCTTTCTCTTCTTGTTGTCTCCCTTTGCATTGCTGAAGTATCAAAGCCGATGGAAGCATAAGAACCAATTTGGTAACTGTATAACTTGTAAATGTTAAAGAAGCTCTATTCAAAGGTTTATGATAAATGTTTTATGTTGGAGTACAGGAAGCACAACAGTTCAAGGTCTCAACATATAAAATCCATTTCATATTTCTCTGCACATGCGTGACCTACTTTCACAGATTCAGGCTTCTCCACACTCTGGAACGAATTCACACTTAACAGCAAGTTGTTCATTTTTTCCTCGTTAAATTCATATTTATAGTGCGACCACAATGCAAGAGAACACAAAGGGAAGCCGGTCAGTGGATGAGATCTTCATGAATGCTGACGGGACTAAAGGTTCACAGTGTTGTGGTTGTTCAGCGTATGTAGCCTCTTCAGTGGAAGCCTGGGTTCATCCAAGTGGGTCGCGTACATGTGTGAGCATAAAGCTGTGTACAAATAAGTGTGAAAAGAAACTGATACATGTAAAGAAGATAAATATGTGAAGCAAAACAGAGCAGAATGATGAACATTTCAGGGCATCCTTACCATAGCATTATGGTCTGTATGATATTATTACAGAGATGTTGGTATTATATGCTGTCCATTTCTGATTTTAGTAATTTCAGACTTGTTTTTTTTTTTCCATAAGGCCCAGATCAAAATGAATGTAAATGGAGTTCTGGGGAAAGTTGTTATTTTTTTCTTACAGTCGTACCAGATGTAATGTTTTACTAAAACATATGTTATTTTTACGGGGATGTGCTTTTGATGATGAGAACCTACAGACTGTCCCAGGCTGTTTCAGACACATCAAGAACAGGACGTCCATCCGACCTTGACACGGACTTTGACGCAACTTCCAAAAGTAGAAGTTCAGATAAAATCATCTATTAGCTCTATCACTCTGTAGTATAGTATGATTAAAAGTGCCAAAGTGCCCCGTGTAGTTGTCAGTGTTACTAGAGATGGAGTGTCTTAAGGACGATTTGGGAACTGTTTCTTTTAAAGCCACCCTGAGCACTTGGTCTCCTATTCATGAAATGGGCAATTTACTTTTAAACAAATTGTAAGAATTTACATGACATTATTAAAAGCTATGGTATTTGGTATTGTTGTCAGTGGTTTAAGGGAACAATGTTACATTGGTCACATAACTGCCTTGAGTTTGATTTATTAATCCCAGGAGGGTAATTCATTTCCAGCGTTAGTAGAATTAGATGAAAACATTAATACTGTCTCATATCTGTCCAATAGTTATGAAGCTACCGCCAGTAGACTGTTGGCTAAGCAGTAAACTCTGTTTGAACAAGTGTCTCTCAGTAGCTCCCCGACTGTTCACTAGTTAACACTTTATATCTCTTTTGTTTAATCTGTGCAAAAACTAAAGAGGAAAAACAAAAAAGTCTGCTTGTGGCCAAGAAATAGTCGTGCAATAGTATGTAATGTTTGTAAAACCACATATGTTTGTACATTTTTTGTACAAATTAAATAAATGAGATATAACATGTTAATTTGTCAGCTATAGATTTTGGATTTTCTCATTCTCCGTTAGCTGCATTGGGCCTTCGTGCTAAGCCAGGCTAACTGGTTACTGGTAGATATACATTAAATGTACGGATATAAAAGATATTTGATCTTTTTCTGGATAAGCCAGTTAAATAAGTAAGTATATTTCTCTTAATGTCAAACTATTCCCTTTAGCAGTGAGCTAGAACCAAGGGGTGAGCTCACTTGGCTCTCTCCAAAGTTCAAAAACGTATTTTCCAGCACCTTTAAATCTCGATAATGAACAAGTATTTCAGAAAATATCAAACCACTGCTTTATAATGATGGAGTTTTCAAAAGTATGCAAAACCTCCCCTTCAATTAACATACTAAAAAGATCATTTTTTGTATGGCGTAATTATGTCTGCTTCAGAAAAGATAAAAGACCTCATTTCATCCTGTATTAAAAATGGGGTACATTCATGTACATCTGCAAAATCTTCATCTGTGTGAAGGAAATATTGTTTAATTTTTCCAGAGCCGCAACTGAAATTAGACGGCGAAAAGCATCATTATTTGTTTTCATGGTAACACAGCTCCCACTGTAGCGTTGATTTACATTTCTGTGCAGTTGAAACACGTCAGCCTCAGCCCTGTAGTGCAGCTTACACACTCCTCTCTTCCCTGTTAATTGATAACAGTCTTCTAAGCTCCTTCAAAATACAATTGGAAGGGATTAAGACTGTTTGAATATGTAAACATGTGACAGCTTGCTTTCTCACAGTGTTTACTGTACTTCTGTAGCTGTCGAGGTAGCTTTTGATTAGTGTAGGTGCTGGAGCTGAATGCACTCCGAATCTTTTTTTCCAGACGTGATGTTTTTCCCACCAGTACCAACAGTGAATAACCGTTCAGATGTTTCTTACAGCAGCCACAGAAAGTTTTACACATGTAGGAACGTAAAACTTTAGTGGTCAAACTGTTGTGGTGTTAGTGCCATATTTTTTATAGATGTTATAAAAATAAAATTACATCTTCTTTCTGTTTTCCCCTAGACCTCCCATTTCAACATAAAATGTAATAATCTATATTTAATATAAATATATATATAGTTTTGATTCTAAAAATGTATAGTATATATTGTCAGTACTGTAATCCAGTACCACTGACTAGTAATAAACACTGCGTTGCTCCAATACAGAATATTAAAGCATAAGAGCAAGCGGAGCATTGAGGTCACGTCACTGCCTTACAACCACTGACTTAATTAGCTGACCATTAATGTCCAATTACAGTTTTCAGATTATTCAATATTGCTAATCATTACAATTAAATTCAAATGTTTCGTTTTATGAAGAATATTTTTTTATTAAGAATTCAATATTTGTCTTTTAAAGTGTGAATACAGATTTTTGCTCCTGACTGAAGGTTGCAGGTTTAAACTCTTCTCTATGAGCCGAGAATGATTCGATAAACAGTAAAACCTTTTACAAATCTGAGGTGAATCAATTATGTGTCATACTTCCTCACTGTGCTCACATAATACATACACCTATATTGATATATACTGAAACTTTGTTATATTGCTATTGATGAAAATTAAATCGCAATGATTAATGTTGTTGTTTTATCTCCCAGCTCTGCATCCAATCAGCAGAGTGTTGCTTTTACAACCTGATAGTTCTCACTCTTACTCTGCTGATACATTTTTTCTAAATCATCAATTCCTCAACATCTCAGATGAAACTAAACAGATTTATTGTTGACATCATGATTGCTTTATCTAAGTAGTCATTTCTGAAGCTGTACATGTGATAATGTTTTTATCCTGTTATATTTATACCCATATATGTAAGTAACTGTACATGAGGTGGACAAAGTTTCAGGTCATCTTCCAAAATGATGCAATCGGATGACACCACCAGAAAGTAAGGCCTGAAAATTTCACTGTGGAATTATAAAAACCCCCAAAAAACAAAAAAAAAGGAAAACTGTACTCTCAGCAAACGCAGAACCTTAAGAAATATGGTGTTTGAGTTGGTAGTATTGCATTGCTATTCATTTTAATGGTCCCAGTGTAAGCTAGAAATTGCCTTTTTTCCTTTGTAGCGCTGCTGAAAACAAACAACACAAATCAATCTTTATTGCATGGAAAAGGCAATAACCATTTGGTGGATGGGAGGAGGGAGGCAGTATATGCTGTGCAGGGTATAGAGACAGGAATGGTGCTTTCCTCTTTGAATGCAGTTTGACCTGCTTCCTTTGTGTGACATAAATATGAATATTGATTCAACTGAAAAGAAAATAACATTGTTGGATACTGTGAGGTCCTGGAATACTGAGGAAACAAACAAGGCCTCGCCTTCAATGCTGTTTCATATTAGATTCTGTTAAAAACAAACAAAAACAGAATGATTTCCTTTGTGCATCGATAACTACATGAATTAATTATGCAGTTGTGCATGAATGTACCCAGTGCTTACATTAACTCCATTAGAATGGAGGTGCTGTAGGATTCAAGAATGGGGTCTGTCAGAGTTAGTGGAGGCTGTAAATTGAACTTAATTGCTGTAACATACAATATGGCGAAATAATTTCCAATGTTCTTTTGTAAATTTGACTAAAACTATCCCTGGGTGTACAAGCATGGCCAGTTGCTATTTGAGAAAGTATAATTTGAATATAAAAACATTGCCTTAATTTCTAAGTGCATGTTGTAATATCATTTAAAAAAACAACTAAACAGGATTTGGGCAAGAAAGTGGAGTTCTGTTCAGTTGTGCAGCTGAACTCAAGCAATTGTATTTTATTAAATGGGTTTTTTAAAGAGGTTCAACTGTAATCGTCACATTTTAGTATTTAACCGCCGGGTAGGGAGTGCTTCCAGGGTCTCTAAAAGGAACAGTCCCAACGTTTCTTTCTGAGTGGATATGTTCTCATTTTCTGTTCGACCTACAAGAAGGGCTTTGTCACATTGTGCCATTCATCACCCCCACGAAAAGAGGAAAAAGCATTCAGTTCCACTGGCCTGATATGATTGCAGCTGGTAGCCCTAATTATTACTATACAAATCCAGCTCTCTTGGTATTGATTCTGACAGTCAAAGGGACTTTGGCAGTTCAAATGTTGGACTCAAACAGCGAAGAATATGTCACCGTGAACCTAAAAACTTTTTGGAATACTTGGTGCATTTGGCTTTCACTTCTGTACAATGGCCTGGCGGTGGTGAGTGACTTGTCGACAGGAGGGTGACTGCAGTCTCGCTAAAAACCAGCAAAAAGGTAGACGCACCTCAGAGATCTCGTTTTACACTGACAGAAGCAGTGTGAGGCAGAGGCTGCTTCGTCTGACTACTTTACCAGAGGGGGAAAACTGCCACCTCCCCTGGTATCGACTCTTTCTGGTGTTGGAGTGAATCTCACTGCTTCTCGCTCGCTCGTCTGTCCTGCTGATCAGGAATCACAGTCCAGGCAGGATCAACACGTTCGCTCACACAGACTCCCCTTCTTTCCATGTCCAGTTAATAACCATCAGTGCATTTGAATGTGTGACCGTTAACCCCCCCCCCACACACACACACACACACACACCCACGCTCTTGAAAAGTCCCCTGGAAATTATGAGATTGGCTGCTGTAATACGAATGTTGTGGAGGAGGCTGTGTTTCAGTGATGTTATCTATCTTGTTCTGTGCTGACACCCTGTAATGATGATGACCTGTCACTCTTCTCTGTTTTGTGCTCTATATTTATATATAGTATGATCAGGCTTCTTTTTCACTGTATTTCTTTGAATTTGTCACCCATTTTTTTGTGCCATACCTGCAACTAATGAAAAAATAAAGAAAAGGAATATTTTACACGAGTGTCAAATACATTCTACACGTACAACTATCAGACTCCAGCGTAATAAAGACTAGAAAAGGACAGAATAGAATATCACATTCCGTATTATGTGCTTAGTGCTGAAACACAAAGCCTCTCCTTGTTTCTGTGGCTCGCTTGTACTTGACACCTGTGTCCCCGCAGTTTTTCAAAGCGAAATCCAAGTTATTCCCACAGTGACCACCCATCTCCAACTCAAAGGGCCTGAAACAAAAGCTTTTGTGTTGTGCAAATTGTTCCTTTGACAGTGCTCCCCAGATTGTGGTTCTTCTGAGGAGCGAGCAGGTTTGCTTTCCTCTCAGAGCTGAGAGCATCTGAGCTATTGTGGCGAGAAAAGGACATCTGAGGGAAAGACCGTGGAATAACAATGATGTGTTCAGGGACTTGAAAGTCATCCAAAGGTTAGACAGCAGGAGCGTCTCGACTAAGGGAAGCTCACACACTGCCTGTGCTGAAGTTACTGTACACGACCTGAAGTGACTCCTCTTTTATTTATTTTCCTGAGCTGTCCATCTCTCTGACATGCTGCACACACAGGAAAACAACCTCAAGTTTTTGAAAATGGTGTTTAGAAATAAATATATCAGAGAGATGCTGCGTTCGCTCTATTCGCTGATCAACAGGTGGTGGTACTTTGTCATAAAACACTTTTACTCACCAACAAGGACTGAAGAAGACTGGACCCTGGTGTGCATGATGGAAACATTGCAGGGTCAAACTCTGTTATTGTAAATTGTGTTGTAAAATATCTTCTTGTCTAACTCTCAGGAGGAAAGCAACAACGCATATCTTAAAAGTATTGAACTAGAAC